AATTTTAGTGACGTAATACACCATAAAAAGTGAATTAAAATCACTTGACGAACTACATCTAAATTTCACATAAAACACATCACGTGTTTTACGCGTTATTCGCGAAAAGGAATATATTTTTCATATCCACTGTTGCAAACATTCAAAACCTGCCCAAAATAATACCATACTTCGTATCAAAATCATTCGGAAAAAAATTTTTCCAAAAATTTTTTTCTCTCCCACCTTGCAATTGATCCGAAATATGCGCCCATTCTGCCAAGTAATCGACCATAACCTGAAAATTTCAAATTCAACACATCTGAAAAATTCACATTTCCCAAGACTACTCTCAACTCTTCTTTTTCCACTACTGATAACTCGCTCACCTAAAATGGAGCAAATCATGATGTTGGTCGAAAACAGTTTAATGCAGTGTGAAGCGAACAGTTATGCATATTTTCATGTTATGAGTGTAAACGAAAAAATTGGTAAAAAATACTATTACCTGGAAATGCTGTAGTTATGAATTTTGGATATCAAAATAATGGAGTTTCACGACTACCCGTTTTACGCGAACATGGTGAAAAACGCGATATTCGCGGTGATATGCAATAGTCATGAAATATGTTTTTCACCAGTGTTTTTCATATCACTAGGGTGGTGAAACTCCACTGCATACTGCCGACCAAACAGTGTTGAGATTCATTGTTTTATCAATCCAGTTCCACCCTAGTGATATGAAAAACACTAGTGAAAACCATATTTCACAAACCACTGAATAGCGCGAATATTGGAGTTTTTCACATAGTATTACGCCACTTCACGTAAAACGGGTCGTGAAATTCCAATGAACAATTTTCCCCTCCCAAAAATTTTTTCTCACCTGCCGATATTCGAAGAAATATTCAGCGACCCACTCCTCGAGATTTCCGCGTTGGAGACTGTCAACTGATGCCCCGTAATACCAACTGAAATTACAAACTAGCAAACTCAAAGGGTCTCAACCCACCTCGATATCTCCGCCCTAAGAAGAGCTCTCACTTTTACTGCATACATATCGTCTTCTACTGTGAATAAACCAGAACCTATTACCACCACCACCACTACTACTACTACTACTACTACTACTACTACTACTACTACTACTACTACTACTACTACTACTACTACTACTACTACTACTACTACTACTACTACTACTACTACTACCACTACTACTACTACTACTACTACTACTACTACTACTACTACTACTACTACTACTACTGCTACTACTACTACTACTACTACTACTACTACTACTACTACTACTACTACTACTACTACTACTACTACTACTACTACTACTACTACGACGACGATGACGAGAAAAAATGAGTTTTACTTCGTCGAAACTTTGAAGTATAACTCTGTTGAGTCTCGCTGAATACTATAACGAGGTGAGATGCCAAAATCTTCAATCGTCACTTGCCTCCCTGCGAAAGCTCAAGACCGCGACGAACTATGGTTGATTGCCTTCCGCTGACCAACAAACTGGCCACGTGTGAATAGTTAAAATCGAAATATCCGTATATTATTACTCTCCACGGTTTACTCTATCGAGTACTACAAAAAAATATCATAGAAAATTTAGTCCCAAAGAAGACCTGTCATTTTCCGATATGAAATAAGTGAAACCACGAAACCAGTTTCCCATTATGAAATATTTGAAAAAAAATTTGTATACCGTACCACTCCCGCGAAGATTTCCCGACAGAACTCACGCTGTCTTACTAGGCTGCCGTAATATACCAACGCCTTCATCATGTGTTTTCTCCCAATCTCGAACCAACTGTTCACACGTAAAGTCCGCCTTCGAGCTCACCATCGCCAGCCGTCTGCGTCTGCTACTAGGGGGACTCCACGTGCCTGGCAAGGCGCTTGTGCGACGTACAACACTTCAGAATTTCCGTGATAGAAATTTCATTACAAAAATTTTAGAGTGAAGTATCATGTGAATTTCATCATGAAATGATTTTTGCGTCAAATTTTTACCCCCGACATCCAAACGAAACGACGCCAATTTATAAGTACCCCATGAAAAACCATTCCGGCACTTGAAAAGTGCCACTTCCTCACATAACAACATAGTTAGTAATCTTACATTACTATAACTGAATCACGGTGACACACTGTGGTGACACTATCACCCCATTGAACTTGCCGTTGTCAACCTCCATCGTCGTCATCGAATCAGCTTCTTACACTCAAATCAGCAGTTCCCCTCAGAGCACTAGCCAACACCGACACACCGTCCGCCTCTGCTAACTTCCGCAGATCCAATACCAAACTGTGTGCGAACCAACCGTCTTTCCTCGAGAACTTCCAAAACTAACGCGTTCTTCTCTGGGATATGGTTAGTCAACTGCTAGGAATCGATCATTAGTTTTAAAGTTGAAATACGGAAATTCGCCCGCGCTCTCATCTGTGTCATGCCAGGTTTGTACCAGCTGCGAACCAAAGACCCTCCCTCCTTGTTCACCAACTTGATGATGTTGCGTACACCTTTAGTAGAACATATCCAATAGTTGAATATTCGATGAATGCCAATCCCCGCAGGCCTCAAGTCGAACAAACCTCTCCAGATTCATTGTATTAAAAACTATCGGTGAGAGGCTCACGCGGATCAGCGCATTTGACATAATTGTCCTTCGCTGATGTGAGCATCAAGTGCGAAAATCATCTTCCATCGGAACACACACCTGTAATATTTATTTTTCCAGTGCACATAATCTACATCTACCGCTTCGAACAACCCCACAATGAAGTCCCTCCTTCAAGTCTATATACCATTCAATCGACTTCATTCAATTGTGTATTGTTTCAACCTGTGATTCACAGAGATGCTCAGTGAGCACTGTCACCACAACCAGCAACTGACCAAGACGGCCCAACCAGAGCCGTCTCTGCCAGTACCATCTCTCTCTCTCTCGCTCGCAGCCGCCATACGGCCAGGCGACTCCAAAACCACCATGAAGATAATGTTGGAGTTTATAAGGTTCCAAGTAGGGCGAACCAGACCACCGAAGGAAGGCCGATGTGGCCATATATGACTCATATAATATGATACGGCTCTTCATTAATCGTACTAGCAGTACATACCAAAATACATACCATGCAGAATACTACAGCGTGGGAGTCGCCTCCTCTTTTTTTTCCTTTTTTTTCCTTTTTTTTCTTTTTTTTCGATAGTACTAGCTTGTATGAGAGCTACTTACAGTACTTATAATACAAGCATACTAGCAGTAACTTCACTTCATAATACCCCATTCGAAGTCTTCATGGTAACGTGTTGGGAATCCATAGAGCTGCGAAATCCCCGCCGAAACTCTCTGTGAGAGCAACAGCCATCTGTTCACATAGAGACTATCATAAAGCCACTATGCAGGAAGAAGATCTTCCCTTCACCGAATTTCATCCCGAAACCATAAGCGCCCAAAAAACTATTACAAACATCCAGCAGCGACTGAGCCTCCCGATTTAGATTTCCATGAATATCACGAGAACTGCTGAGCTGGTAGGACTGCGAAGCGCACTGAAAAATGAAATTTCTAATTTCGTCATTCCAACAACACCATTAATTCCTATCACAAATTTCGTTGCTCATAACGTGACAAAAATTTCAGAATTTCAGAAGAAAAAAAACAAAAAGTTCCGGAATAATGACCATTAAAATTTATCGCTAATCCTCATGCATCTCCTACCAAGTTATCAGCCAAAGAAACACAACCATTCTGCGTTTTATCAATCGCGGATTTCCCCCCCCTCACTACCCGTTCTAACATAGGCTGTGATGCATTATGATGCGGATTCACCGCTACGTGAACCTGAGAAAACTTTTCCACAAAACTTAAACTCACTGAAATTTTCAATTATATGGTTTAAAACTTCGAGTTTTCACGTCAATGACAACCCTTATAGGATTCAATACTAATAGTAATTCCTTTGCTAACAACAACAATCTCTCCAATTAAATTCCCGACCAATTCATTGCTACTATTCGTTAGAGCAAACCATGGAGAGTGATAATATACAGTCCACTATACGAAAGCTTACATGAATC